ATGTCCGCTATCGAAGAGCAAGACGTTGGATGTCTTTTTATAATAGAAAAATCATATGTTCATACCCTGAGTTGGATGCACATGTTGACTTTATGCTATTAATGCGCATTCGAGTAGCAGCATCCTTGAGCAGACTAGCCACGTGGGGAGAGATTGGCGCCTGCATACTTCGGAGACGAGGAGTCAAATGCGGCGGGTCCTAAGGTAAAAGCTTTACGTTAATTTCATTAACTTTACATTTTTATTTTTACATTTTTGTGAATACCTTTTATAAGACTAGAGCGTTTTTTACCTTCTCAGTATAATACTTATTTGTTCCTTATTTGGAATGAGCACCCCCCCCACTTGCGTGTTCTTTAAGCGCTGCCAGAAGAAAAACATCAGGAATAAGAAAGGTTTCTTATTTGTTTTGACGTTTCAAGATTCTTCAAGCAGCGAAGAAGATGTTTCCATTGTCAAAAAGCAAAAGAAGTCCGGGTCGAACCCATTAGTACAAGAGGTAATGTCCGATTTGGCATATTTTTACAGACTGAAAACTTCCGTAGAGCAAATAGAGAGCAAAATCCATCTATTTATGATAAATCTGAAGAGATATTGGAGTATGAGGCATCCCGTTCGAAGGTAGATGATTTTTTAACGTGTTCCTAAGACCTCATCTGTTCCAAAAGATCAAGGTGCCACAAGAATAATACAAATAGACGAGGAGACCAAAAAGGCAGCACCCAAGAACGAAAATGTAGACTCATTTAGTTTTATTCCTCCAAAGAAATCTACAAGCGATAAAGTGTACAAGGGACTTAGCGGATATGCATCCTTTGTCGCATCTAAACGAGATGAACGAGGTAGTGGTTCCAGTGGTTACAGTGCCAAAGGGCCAATACGAGCTCCGCAAAATATCAGGTCAACTGTCAGATGGGACTATCAACCAGATATATGCAAAGTATGTCAAATCTTATTAACGCTGTAGGACTATAAAGAAACTGGCTTCTGCAGCTTTGGAGACAGCTGTATATTTTTACATGATCGGTCAGATTACAAGCATGGTTGGCAAATCGACAGAGAGATTGACGAAGGAACTTTTGGAATAGATGGCAGTGACAATCGGTATGAAGTTTATGATGGGGGTTCAGATTATGAAGAAGAAGAGCATATCCCTTTCAAGTGCATGATATGCAGAAGCGACTTTGTTGACCCTGTAATTACCAGGTACGCTACTCTTTAAAATAATATTTAGATGCAAGCATTATTTTTGCAGCGCGTGTGCAATAAAGCGATACCAAAAGACTGCTCGTTGCTATGCCTGTACTGAGGACACAAGGGGCTTTTTCAAAAACGCGAAGGATCTTATAGATAAGATAAGGAAATTGAAAAAAAGGTTGAAGTCCTCTGGCTCAAGCGATGATGAGAACAACTCCGATGCTGCGCATTCTGAGCATGAATGCTGTGAGGACGACACCAAGATTGAAAACTCTTCAGATAAATGTTCCTGCCTTGAAGCATGCAATGAGTCTGATTCTTCTGATGCAAATGATGTTGTTCAATCACAGAAATTATTGGGTGCCAAACCAGAAGCTCCGGAATTCTGCAATACAGACGAAGAGTCTAGCGATTAAATTCCTATATGCTGAAGTGTATATACTAATGTAAACATATCTTAAATTAAATCGATCTATACTGAACAGTAATGTTTTCCTTATTTCATTTTAATGCTGCATATTATGGTCGCATATTTTATCCATTCCGATATTTATTATGTTTATGAACTGCCTCTGCATATATTTTAATGCCAGCTTCAACTACTTTTTTCGACATGAAGAGAAACTGGGTTTCGATGAATCTCTTGAGATAATATTGATAGTGGGACTTTCAGTTCGTATGAAAGTGAATGTAAGTGAGATTCGTTGGTCGATCATACCAGATGAGGACGGATGAATCTCGTTGTATTGCAGCCGTTTGGTTTGTATACAATATTTATGTTGACGCAGT